TCTAACAAAATAGGGAAAATGACTGAATAAACTAATTTATATCATATTCGGATGACAACTGAATGAGTTTAGATTAGACAAAAAAAAATATCTTTTTAAATATATAATCCACTATAACCTTGTCATCTAAACATACCCTAAACTTTAATAAATTTTAGTTACTAAATAAAACTGAGTGAGCTCATAAAATAAAGCTCAGTGGTTGACTCAGTGTGTTCTATTAAAAAAAATAGTAGGACTACTACTAAACAATTCTTAATAAATAAAATTTGTTAAATTTTTTTGTACAAATACCATTCTCCAAGAAGAAATCTCTTTATAGGTGCGTGTACACAAAATAAATCTAACACGACACGAATTTAAAACTAACAAGATTGATAGATAAATTAAATTAATATTTAACATTTATACCATATTAAATAATTTTTTTGTATATAATAATAAAATTACGACACGAATCATAGTGCCATAATTTAAAAATAACAATACGATTACGTGCACAATCCCACACACGACCAATTGATTCTTTTTCTTTTGAAAAAGTGTACTAAATCATTTACTAAATCTTTAAAGAAATTGATTCTTTTTCTTTTGAAAAAGTGTACTAAATCATTTACTAAATCTTTAAAGAAATTGATTCTTTTTCTTTTGAAAAAGTGTACTAAATTATTAAAGAAAATGACTATCAAATAGGAAGGTGGGGTCGACCTATTCTTTTTCGTTACCACATTATTGTCAATCTTATCATCATCAAGATTGTGGTACTATTAAAAAAATTTCGGTATTATACTACCAAAATTAATAAGTTTTGTAAGTTTTGTTTTCAAAAATTTTGCAGGTGAAAATATAAATTTTTGAGTTTGATTACAACAAACAAAATTTAAAAAATTTTGATGTTATATTACAATTTTTATGGTTTAAATTACAACTTTTATAAGGTTATTTGTAACTTTTGAAAAGATTGTAAATAATCTATAAGAGTTGTAAATGACCCTAAAAAATAACCCTCAAATTTTATAAAAAAAAATCCCCATAAAAATTATAAATACCATTATGGCACTGATTTTATTTTTTTTAACAGTAGATTGCTCCTTTACTCCTATCCTTGTTTTTTTTTTTTCTCGGCAAAAAAGAGTTGGTGACAAAGAAGAGCACCCAAATATCACTTTAACAGACCCTTCCTCTAAGTGTTTGTTATGCTCGAGACAAACCGACGCATTCGTCCCCCTTTTCTTTGGGTAAATTTCTTCTCCTCCACGGTAGAGAAATCGAACAGATTGCTCCGAAGCAAAGGTAATGTCTCTCTCTCTATACATGTGTGCATATCTGTGCATTGTATATATCTGTTATACTCACTACATCTATTAGGGTTTTTCTAGGGTTCTACAAGTATTGTGACGTTGAAAAAAAAGGACTCTTTTTTGGTTGTTTACGGTATTTTTTATCTTCTGAATTTGGCATTTTATGTTGTTCTTTGTATGTAAATTGCTTTGTTGATGAGATCCCAATGGATAACTCTGAATCTTTTGTCATCCTTTTTTGCTCAATAAATTCCAGGAAATAATTGAAATTAATGTAAACTGTATGTAATAATAAGCTTGTAGAGTGTAATGGGAATAGCCCTCATTAGTAGTTAACATTCCCTTTTATCCTTCATCTAGAAAATGCAATTTCTGCAAAAGATGAATGTATGTATGTGAGCTCTTGACATGTAACGCTACTCCACAATAGGTTAGGCCTTTTGGTATTGGAGTTGTTGTTTAAGACCTTATAAATGTCTCTCTCTTGATGGAGAGTTTGTGTTCTGTTTTCGTATGTTGAAATAAGAGGCGAAGATATCAATGGTCGGGAACGACATTCTGAAATTTCATCATGATCGGAGAGATTTCACCGCTTGGTATTCTAACCAAGTGAAATTTCTGTTCTTTTTCTGTTCGTATTGATGATGTTTTTTAAGACCTCGTCATGTCTTTCTCTTGGAGCCTGTTTGTTTGCAGGATAGGAGCTGTATAAAAGGATGGTATTAGTGAAATAGTACCAAAAATTTACCTTATACCTTGTTTATTTGATATTTTTCAATTAGTATACTGTGACCTGGTGTGATCAATGACTTAAATGTCTTCTATGGTACTATTGAATATCACCTACCATGTGGTATTATTTTTTCGGTATAATTAAAAGGATGGTATAAGAGAGTAAAATGACACAAATGTCCTCATCTGTTAAGAGTTTACATATAAAAAATTTATTTTGAATTTTTTCTTTGTATTATATTTAAGCGTACGGTAACATTGGGTTTTTTTTAATTTTTTTTTAAAATTATTTTAAATTTTTTTATTATATTATTTTTAAGTGTACGGTGTCATCTATTTTTTTTTTTAATTTTAAAAAAAAATTATTTTAAATTATTTATTATATTATGTTTAAACATACGGTGTCACCGATTTTTTTTTAAAAAAAATATTTTGAATTTTTTCCTTGTATTATGTTTAGCGTACATTGTCACCGGTTTTTTTTTTTTTGTTAAATTTTTTTCTTATATTATGTTTAAGCGTACGGTGTTAACGGTTTTTTTTTTTTTTTAAGTTTTTTAAAAATAAAATTATTTTGAATTTTTTTTTTTTTGTATTATGTTTAAGCGTACGGTATTAACGGTTTTTTTTTACGGTATCACCGATTCAAAGCATTAGAATATTTATTATACCAAATATTGTGCAAAAGCGTTACACAAACGGAGTAATGGAATGAGAAATGTTAAGGGTAAAATTATATATTTGTTATTTAAGATGTGATAGAATAAATGATTGTTTGTGAGATTCACCATATTACCTATAAAACAAACAAATAAGAAAAATGATGATATAAAAATTTAAGACCGAATATAATATACAATTGGATAGAAGTAAAATATAAATGATTCTTAATCCCACCCAAATCTAATCACACAAACAGTTCCTTGATGGAGTTTTTGTGTTCTGTTTTTATCTGTTCAAATAAGATGTGAAGGTCTCATTGTCCAGTATGACATTCTAAAATTTCATCATGGTCGGACAGTTTTCTCTTCTTCATCCTCGGACCAAGCATAGTGGGTGTCTCCTCCCCCTCTCTCTCTCTCCTTTTTTTTTTTTTGGCTCAATGGTCAGGGTTACACCCGACAAATCCCCTCCTCGGTCCAACTTAAAGCAAGTAATCCATGTCAGAATTAGAATAAATAATTCCATAAAAATAGTTAAGATTCAAACTCATGACGACTACCATGTTATTACTTGAGCTATCTCTTGTCATTTATCTCTCTCGTCTTTCACAAATACTCTCTATCATTTTTATTTTTCTTTTTCTTTTTCTTTTTCTGTCTACTTAACAACCGCACATTTTTTTTATTAATTTATAATTTTTTTTTTATAATTTTTTGAGAAATTTGGAGGCCGGTTCCCCTATATGGACTTGTTTGAACTTAAGTTCGTCAAGGAAACTTATTTATTCTGAAGTCCATTGTTTGTCAATTTTATCATATTATCCATTCCCTTCAGAAATGGAATAAAACTAAAAATTAAAAACTCCAAAATCTTAGGAGTTTGACTAACATTAAAATTTTTTCTCTATCATATCTATCTATATCCATATATAGGTTAAGAGTTTGATTAACATTAAAAATTTACCGCTTATATATATATATATAGTAACATTTAAATACAAAAAAAAAATTATCATTTGGACACAAAAAATAATACATTTAAACACAACAAAATAGTAAATTTAAATATAAAAAAAATTGAAACATTTAATATTAATATTTTAAAAAAATAATAACAGTAATATGTTCAACAAAAAATAGTAACATGCTTAACAAAAACTGTAACATACTTAACAATAATTATTTCTCTCAAATTCAAACGCAAAAAATAGTATCATTCAAATACAAAAAATAGTAATATTCAAAAAAAAAATAGTAACATTGAAAATTAATATTTAGGAAAATAATAGTAGTAACATGGTCAACAAAAACAGTAACATACTCAAAAATAATAGTACATGAACAGTAATATACTCAACAAAAGTAGTAACATAAATAATAATATAATAAAAAAAATAGTAACATGAATTTGAATTTTACTATTCAAATTCATAGTAACTTTTTTTTTGGTATTTGAATGTTACTATTTTTTTTTAATGTTACTATATATATATATATATATACCTAACCTATATATGGATATAGATAGATAAGAGAGAAAAAATTTTTTAATATCAATCAAACTCTTAACCAATATATGGATATAGATAGATATGAGAGAGAAAAGATTAACTTCTTTTAAGGGAAGGGTATTTTTGAGATAAAAAAAAAAAGTGGACTTAAGTCATTACGTATAATCTTAAACATGACCTTAGCCCCTTATAAGTTTCTTTGCAGGACTTATCTCCAAATAAGTATATTTAGGGAGACTCACTTCCAATTTTTACTAATTTTTTTTTGGGGAGAGGGGGACTTGAACCCTTGATCTCAAGAAAACAAAGTCTTCATAAGATAAGGAGTACCATTAGATCAAAGACCCGTTGGTTAACAATTACACATTAGCGGTAATGTTTTAGGGCTGCAACTATTTAAGCTTTGGGGTCTTTTGCTACAAAGCACCACTAATCAAACCCACTTTAATTTCATAATCTATTTGTTTGCTTTGTGTATTTACCTCCACAAACCGTAACACATTACATTATAAATCCAATGTTTTTAATATATTTGGTTGCTTTTGTTTGTGTGAGAGAATTGTTTATACTCTGATTCTTTACATCGTGCAGTATCTTTCCCAGTTCAATGCTCCACTAATTCTGTCTCCTACTAACTCTGGTTTTATGTTTGTTTGTTTTTGTTTTCCAAATTGTGGGGGGTTACAAAGTGCTATACAAATAAAATGTTTCTGCAGCCCTTCCCCTAAACTCTGGTGTTATTCAATCTTAGCCTTACCTCTATTCAGTCCATAGTCTTACGTGCTATAACATACAGATTCTGGTGGCCTTAATGTCGGAAACAAACATAATAAGCTTGAAGCTTCTTGTGGACAAGAATTCTAAGAAGGTGGTCTTTGCAGAGGCTAGTAAGGACTTTGTGGACTTCCTATTTGGACTGCTAGAGTTGCCCCTTGGTTCCATTCTGAGCCTTCTGATCCAGCATGGTGTGGCTGGGTCATCTTCCTTGGGTAGAGTCTATGAGAGTGCCAAAAACCTCAACCCCAGCTATTTACAACCAGACCAAACCAAGAACTTCCTCCAGAGACTCTCTTCAAGTACTCTGCAAACCTATCTACTGGACAAATTTGCATATAATAGAGAGTCTAGCAGCCCCTCGTCCTCAAGCTGCCCCTCGTTCTCGAGCAGCCCCTCATTCTCTAGCAGCCCCTCAGTCTTCGGGAGCAGCCACTCGAGCAAAAAGAAAGAGGTGGATGGATACGTTAAAGCAGCAGTGGTATACATGGTGATGGATGATCTTACAGTGAAACCTATGTCCACTATCTCTAGCATTACTCTTTTCAACACCATTGGGGTAAAAGATATGAGTAGTGTCCAAGAGAAGATTGTAGAGATCAACATGAAAAAGGTCTTGTTTTGCTTCTTTTTTCTTCTTCTTCAAAATCTTTGTTCGGCATGAGTTTGTTTTGGTTTAATCATTGATGGTTTTGTGTTTTTCTTTGTACTGTCAGGCTTTGGAGATGGTGAAGACCTCCTTTGAGTCTACTACAGTCCTCTCCGACATGTTTATTGGGAAGGAGCCACCGGTAGACTGTAATTCAGAAAGCAAAAGGTGCCATTAAAATTACCCTTGCATCCATTCGACTAAAAACAATCTTTTGTTTTGATATAGGGTGGGTTTTTGTAAGGAAAATGCTCTGTTCCCTTGCCTGACTATTTTGCAGGGAGAATTGTGATTTTGCAACTAGTCTGGTGTCGACATTAATGAGACAGTGAGGGATGTTTGGCTCAGGCTTGTAAGGATCATGGTTGATTAGGCCACTGGTGCTTTTTCTATTAGTGATTTCTTTCTATGATTGTAAGATAAATTATACCAATTCTGGCTAGTATGGACTGCTTTGTCTACCCATTCATTTGTCAATTTTGTGTAGCATTGCTGATTGCTCCTCTTCCTCCTATAGAGGTGTAAAATCGGCTGGGCCGCAACAGCCACAATCCTTTTGACGGTGGGCCAATGCATTGAACTAGCTACGTTGGGCCTGCTGCCCTTCCGGCCAATCAATGCAGGAACAATGCAGGTCCGTTTCAATGGCAGTTGGAATTTTGCTCAAATTGACAAATTACCCAATCCCAACAGCTTTATAAACTCTCTACCCCAACAGCCATTGTGTGGTAGTTTGGTAATTTAATTTAGGATTAATTACAAAATACTCCCTTGACGTTTAGGTCACATTCAATCAACTACCTCTGATTTTAGTTTTAACAATTTACCCCTTGAGAGTTTGAATATTTGTAAATTATGTCTAGCTGTTAATTTTGATAGTGAAAAGTGAAAAAACATTTATTTGTAAATGATATAATCTAAAATTCTACAAAGAAACAAAATAACCCTTCATGTCATTTTGTCTTGAGAAAAAGAACGGGGTGCTTTTTTACGAGAGAAAATGTTTTTAAATTCAGGGTAATTTTTTTTTTAATAAATTCGAGATCATGTGACTTAATGTCCATTATTTTTTATTGTCAAAACTAACAATTAAAGTTAATCAAAAAATCTACATACTTTGAGTGGATAATTTGTTGAAATTCAAACTAAAAAGAATTGATTGCAATTTCAAGGAACATTTTATAAATAACCCTTTAATTTATTGATCGTCTCTACCTTACCCACATCTGAAGAAGGGGCACAACGCAACCATGGCGAATCACCTGTGTGTCATGCCCAACACGGATAGGCACACACATAAGACTAACTGGCTCGTGCCAGCGTGTCATGACATAATCATTATTTATTGTGCGTGCAAGATCTGCACAATATAAACACTAGAACAGATCTCTTCCGTGGTGAACACGTGTCTGAAATCGGGTGGTTGATCTTGCTAGTTGAACAGGTTGTGAGGGTCGAAGATGGATAATCAACCGTTGGTATGAGTCACCTGAGTGATCCTGGAAGACTGAAGGAGGTTCCTGGAACAAAGGAAAATAGGTTAGAAGGGCGCCGGAGTATTTTTCGACATATCCTCTCCGACGATCAAATCAGTTCTTTGAGAGAGGGGAAGAAGAAAACACTGTATGATGGTTGAGAGAGGGTTAGTTGCGTACCCTTTTTCTGTGTTGTAAGGACTATTTATACGTTAAAAACTCATCATTGCTGACAGCGTAGCTAGTAGGTAATCATTGGGGATGGGCAGCGTGCACACCAATTTCTATGAGTAATGATCGTATTCTTTAATGCTCGGGACTCCGAGCAACTAATGTTTTCTCTTCGGTCTATTCTAGTGTTTATATTGTGCAGGATCTTGCATGCACAATCTAGCGCCGTCTGTGGGAAATGACTAGTTTTCCTAGTTTTTTCTCTAGAAAGAACAGTGACCATGGTGAATACTCGACAGAAAGGGAAAGGTTCCCAACAAAGAAGCCTCGAGTTACAAGCTCCTCGTCATGTTGGGGGGAGGGATCACGCTGATGACAACAAGAACGTTTCTATTCATTCAAGGGGGCATACTCCTCAAACTAGTATGGGCATTAGATCAAGAGGATCCACTCCCTTGGCTCGTCAAATAGCGGAGGTGATTGAAGAAAAATTTGGGGATCACTTACGACAGTTAGAACAAGATAATATGAATGTCCTAAGTCGGCTCAACGAATTTACCGCCTCTGGCGAAGGATCGGGGGACTCATTCCGTTCCCACGGATGCCCCGTTTGGGAAGTGAAAACCGAGGAGCTGAGGAATCATTTGAACAACAAAGCTGAGAGCTCCAAGGTCCCAAAGCGCCCGAGAGCCGATGATCACCCCCTCGACGGTCATTCCAGGAAGGCAAGACCTTTGGCCTGGGACGACCTCCGGCAGGGACTGTCAAGGCGGGGGAAGGGAGATGAGTCCGAGGGGGATTTAACCCTTTTCGCACGACGCCCGGAGAAGGGGAGCCCCGTCAATGACCTTGGAAACTTCAGAAGACATCCTTCTGGGGTGGAGATTGATCTCAGAGCCCAGTTGGAATCCAGTAGAAGGGGCAAGGCCGTCCAGGATGACGCTAAAGACGAGGCCATGTAATCGCCTTTTACCAGGGATATTCGAGATATGGAGGTACCAAAGAAGTTCTTCGTGCCAGGGTTTAAAACTTATGATGGGTGATCCGATCCCGAAGCTCACCTCAGGCAATACAAGCAAATGATGTCCCTGTATCATTCGGACCAACGGCTCCTCTGCCGTGTGTTCTTCATGAGTTTGGGAGATTCTACGATGAAGTGGTTCGAGACTCTTCCTCCCAACAGCATTGGGTCATGGAAGGAGTTGGCGAGGCAATTTCTAGCCCGATTCATTATAGGGAGCAAGCGGCCCAAAGACATTGGGTCATTACTGATGCTCAGGCGGAGGGAACAAGAAACCCTTCACCAGTACATCACCCGGTACTGGGAGGAGGTCAATGAGGTAAAGGGGTGCNTGCTAGAGTTGCCCCTTGGTTCCATTCTGAGCCTTCTGATCCAGCATGGTGTGGCTGGGTCATCTTCCTTGGGTAGAGTCTATGAGAGTGCCAAAAACCTCGACCCCAGCTATTTACAACCAGACCAAACCAAGAACTTCCTCCAGAGACTCTCTTCAAGTACTCTGCAAACCTATCTACTGGACAAATTTGCATATAATAGAGAGTCTAGCAGCCCCTCGTTCTCTAGCAGCTCAATGTTCGGGAGCAGCCCCTCATTCTCGAGCAGCAGCCCCTCATTCTCGAGCAGCAGCCCCTCATTCTCGAGCAGCAGCCCCTCGTTCTCGAGCAGCCCCTCATTCTCTAGCAGCCCCTCATTGTTCGGGTGCAGCCACTTGAGCAAAGAGAAAAAGGTGGATGGATACGTTAAAGCAGCAGTGGTATACATTGTGATGGATGATCTTACAGTGAAACCTATGTCCACTATCTCTAGCATTACTCTTTTCNCCTCAAGCTGCCCCTCGTTCTCGAGCAGCCCCTCATTCTCTAGCAGCCCCTCAGTCTTCGGGAGCAGCCACTCGAGCAAAAAGAAAGAGGTGGATGGATACGTTAAAGCAGCAGTGGTATACATGGTGATGGATGATCTTACAGTGAAACCTATGTCCACTATCTCTAGCATTACTCTTTTCAACACCATTGGGGTAAAAGATATGAGTAGTGTCCAAGAGAAGATTGTAGAGATCAACATGAAAAAGGTCTTGTTTTGCTTCTTTTTTCTTCTTCTTCAAAATCTTTGTTCGGCATGAGTTTGTTTTGGTTTAATCATTGATGGTTTTGTGTTTTTCTTTGTACTGTCAGGCTTTGGAGATGGTGAAGACCTCCTTTGAGTCTACTACAGTCCTCTCCGACATGTTTATTGGGAAGGAGCCACCGGTAGACTGTAATTCAGAAAGCAAAAGGTGCCATTAAAATTACCCTTGCATCCATTCGACTAAAAACAATCTTTTGTTTTGATATAGGGTGGGTTTTTGTAAGGAAAATGCTCTGTTCCCTTGCCTGACTATTTTGCAGGGAGAATTGTGATTTTGCAACTAGTCTGGTGTCGACATTAATGAGACAGTGAGGGATGTTTGGCTCAGGCTTGTAAGGATCATGGTTGATTAGGCCACTGGTGCTTTTTCTATTAGTGATTTCTTTCTATGATTGTAAGATAAATTATACCAATTCTGGCTAGTATGGACTGCTTTGTCTACCCATTCATTTGTCAATTTTGTGTAGCATTGCTGATTGCTCCTCTTCCTCCTATAGAGGTGTAAAATCGGCTGGGCCGCAACAGCCACAATCCTTTTGACGGTGGGCCAATGCATTGAACTAGCTACGTTGGGCCTGCTGCCCTTCCGGCCAATCAATGCAGGAACAATGCAGGTCCGTTTCAATGGCAGTTGGAATTTTGCTCAAATTGACAAATTACCCAATCCCAACAGCTTTATAAACTCTCTACCCCAACAGCCATTGTGTGGTAGTTTGGTAATTTAATTTAGGATTAATTACAAAATACTCCCTTGACGTTTAGGTCACATTCAATCAACTACCTCTGATTTTAGTTTTAACAATTTACCCCTTGAGAGTTTGAATATTTGTAAATTATGTCTAGCTGTTAATTTTGATAGTGAAAAGTGAAAAAACATTTATTTGTAAATGATATAATCTAAAATTCTACAAAGAAACAAAATAACCCTTCATGTCATTTTGTCTTGAGAAAAAGAACGGGGTGCTTTTTTACGAGAGAAAATGTTTTTAAATTCAGGGTAATTTTTTTTTTAATAAATTCGAGATCATGTGACTTAATGTCCATTATTTTTTATTGTCAAAACTAACAATTAAAGTTAATCAAAAAATCTACATACTTTGAGTGGATAATTTGTTGAAATTCAAACTAAAAAGAATTGATTGCAATTTCAAGGAACATTTTATAAATAACCCTTTAATTTATTGATCGTCTCTACCTTACCCACATCTGAAGAAGGGGCACAACGCAACCATGGCGAATCACCTGTGTGTCATGCCCAACACGGATAGGCACACACATAAGACTAACTGGCTCGTGCCAGCGTGTCATGACATAATCATTATTTATTGTGCGTGCAAGATCTGCACAATATAAACACTAGAACAGATCTCTTCCGTGGTGAACACGTGTCTGAAATCGGGTGGTTGATCTTGCTAGTTGAACAGGTTGTGAGGGTCGAAGATGGATAATCAACCGTTGGTATGAGTCACCTGAGTGATCCTGGAAGACTGAAGGAGGTTCCTGGAACAAAGGAAAATAGGTTAGAAGGGCGCCGGAGTATTTTTCGACATATCCTCTCCGACGATCAAATCAGTTCTTTGAGAGAGGGGAAGAAGAAAACACTGTATGATGGTTGAGAGAGGGTTAGTTGCGTACCCCTTTTCTGTGTTGTAAGGACTATTTATACGT